TCTTCTTGAAGGAAAGACTGAACATTTCTTCTAATACCCAAAGTCTTTTTTTATTAAATTTTTTCATTTTAATTTAACTTCTTTCTAATTTTTTTTTTGTTATTAACTTTTTAATTTTAGAATTTAATAATAAAAATAACATTATTTAAAAATAAAAAATGTTATTATCTTCTTGTATTCCTTTTTTTAAAATAATTTTTATCAAAGAAGACTCAGAGATGGGATTAATCTCCCTTGATCCAGGAACAATAAAAACTACTTCTAATAACACTTAATAAATTGCTTTTGATTTAAAATGAAATAATTGAGAAAATTTAATATTTTTATAATGGGATAAAAATCGATTTAAATAACAAATATTATTTATTTTTAGGAAAAGTTTTTAATAGAGAGAAGTAGTTTTTGTTAGGAAGTTATGAAATTGAGTAGTATTTATCGAAATAACATATTAAAGAAACATTAAAATGATAGGATATCTAAAAGAATAAAAACAACTTCAATTCTAAACTCATTATAAGAAGAAAATCTAGTTAGTTTGTATTTGAGGGATTAAATAAAGAAAAATAGAGAGAAGTGAGACAATGGCACTCAAAGAGAAAGAATAATCAAGTGAAACAAGTTTGAATAACATAACAAAAAGATGAAGGAAAAATAACTAAATGGAAAAAAGAATAAATAATAACGTCTAAAGTTTCAAAAAAAACTTAAAATAAATAGATATTTATTACTTTATTCATCTAAAAAGAGAGTTGCATTTAGGAAAAATCTAAAAGAATAATGGGGGTAATATAAAGAAAAAAAGTGTAAAAAAAGGAAAAATAAAAACAGGAGGAAAAACTATATAAAATATGAATGTAAATTATTACTTTTCAATGGATTAAGATTGTAATTGATAACTTTAGAACTATTTTTAGGAATGACGAAATATTTAAGATTGATTTTTCTGTTGAGACTTTTCATTTTTTTGAAAAGAAAGTTACATTGATAAATTTATACTTGTTGTCAAGATAGATTGCCTTTTAATAAAAAACTTAAAAAATTGCACTAATGAAGTTCATAAATGTTTACATTAATATTATTAACACTTGTTTGTTCTGTTTTAGGAAATAGGCATATTCTTGATACACCTTGTATGTCAGATTTTGTTGCAGTTAATTTAAATTCTCCAAAAATTATTGTCAATGAAATTAAGTACTGTTATGACAAAATTCCTGATTTTAATGTATCAGTTCATGGACATAACATCAAATCAGATTGTTATATAAGTGAACATTTAATTAGAGTTAATAAAAGTTCAAATAGTATTAATAGATGCGGTGAATGGCTTGAAGTTGTAGGTCCATCACAAAACCCTGTTGTGTGTATGATCGCTGGTTCAGTTAGTGTTACTATTAATGGTGCTAACTCTCAAATATATAGTAGAATTATTGGAGTAAGAAATTCAATATTCAGTCAAATTACTATATCTAGTGGAACTTCATCACTATTAAGTCAAGTAACAGTGGCAGAGTCTGATTTTGATTTAAGGATTAATCCATCTTTATATGTTTTAAGTAAAAATGATAGCCATTCAATAATTCAATTTATTGACCATAATAGACCACCAGAAAAAATAGAAATTATTGATGGAGAATTAAATGAAGAGATTAAAATTAATCCTGATGATACATTTACTATTCCATTATTTCCATATGCTATTAATATTTATCTTATTTCTTTTGATAGTGAAAAGATTGAATTTAAAGGAATAAACTTACATGCAATCACAAGATATTCTACTGATGATCGTTTCGTTTCTTATAATTTAAGAAGTTGTAAATATTTAGCTGATACTCAAATGTTTGAGGAAGGAAAAAATTACAGTAATGTTCTTCCTATTTTTAGATGGAGGATGTATTATATTGACGATAAGGATATCGCCACTGGTTTTCCATTAACTGAATCAATAGTTCAATTTAACACACCATCAGACCCTGTTTCTACATGTTTCTTATATGCAACACCTTTACAACTGAACCAAGATTTTAAAGAATTACGAATGGACTTTAGATGTAGTGACATCAATTCTTATAAATTTAATACAACAAATTTATATTATACTGATACTATAACATCTGTAGACATAAAAAATGCTAAATTAATTAATTCAGATTTACCAACCAAATATTATTTTGACAAAGATGGTGAAACCATTCATATGAAAATTGCTTTTGATGCTTCTTCTTATCAATATTCTAACTTTATTAGAATTATTCATTCCGTTCCTATTGGTACTACTTTGTCTCTTAAAAGCGTTTATTTAATTCGTTCTAAAGCAAATGACAACCAAACAGAATGCGATCATACTACTTTTGACTGTCAATTTACTGAATGTACTATTACAACTACTTCAAGTGCTAGTCCATGGAAAGAAGGTTGCCAACCAACTTGTGGAAATTGTAGAGTAGGATATACATGCTCTGAACAAGGTTTTTGTTTAAAAGAACAAAACTTGAATCAAAGAAGTGGATGTTTAAACATTATTATCTCAACACTTATTGTAGCCCTTCTTTTTGTGCTTTAAATTGTGTTCTTTTTAACCAATCCAACAAGTCTAATTTTCTTTTGTTAAAACTCCCATTTATTTTTTTAAACTAGTTTGCAATTGTTATAAACATAAAACGTAATTAACTTAGATTGAAATAAGAATTAATGACTCTTTTATTTATTATTATTTATTTATAAAAAAGTATCATTCCTTTTAAATTGAACAAGTCAAATATAAAGAAACAAAAGAATAATTCATCGGATTAACTTTTTTCTTCTTAATAAAATTTAATTTATTATATTACCTTTTCGATTCAATATTTCTCTTTTTTGGTTGCCTTTTAAACAATTATATTCTAAGAATTATAATTATTTTCTTTAACTACTTATCAATTAGTTTGTTATTTTCTTATGTGAAAAAAGTGTTTTTGTCTTCTTCTTTCTTTTTTTGGTTTAGATTTCATTTAAGTGAATTCTCTTAGTTGATGATTTATTTAGTTAGAATCGAATATACTTTTTTAAGAAATGAAACACCTTTTTCTGCTTGTCCAGTAAAAATTTGTTACATACAATTTGAAGAGCCAGTTTTAATAGTCCTTTTCAATTTCAATTAAAAAAAACTAATAATAGAGATTAACTTAAAAATAACTACAAAATTAAAAATAGTTTTTTGAAAAATAAATATTAAAAAATAAAAGAACTTTAAAAGGAAGATTGTGGAAAGTATGTCAAATGACACATCAAGGGAGCAATCAGAATCGGAGATAGAACTCTCCAGTCCCTCTTCTTCTATTTCTCTATCTGATTCTGAAAGAAAAAATGAAAGTGAGAATCAAGAACGTTCAAACGAACCTCTAATAGAAGAACAAAAAGGAAGTGTAATTGGACTGAAAGACTTTCCTGAGGAAAGTCCATCAGGAAGAAAGAGTGATGAAAAGAGATTAAGTTCAGAAAGTAGTGAAAAATTATCTTCAAATTCAATTTCTTCTCAAACAAAATCAGACAGTGGTAATGAAAATTCAGAACAAGAAAAAGATGAGAGGGATCATGAAAAACCCCAGGAAAAGGTAGAAGTTAAAGAAGAAGAAAAAAAGGAAGAAATAAAAGAAGAAGTTAAAGAAGAAGTTAAAGAAGAAGTTAAAGAAGAAAAAAAGGAAGAAATAAAAGATACAGTTGAAGCAACAAAAGAAAAAAAAGATCAAGAAAAAGAAGCTATTACAGAAGAAGGAATAAAGTTATTAATTAAATATTGTGATAATGCTGATTATGAAGAAATTAAAAAATTAACAACGAAATACAATATTAACTATAGTTATCAAGATGAAGAAGGAAAGACATATTTACATCATTATTGTAATCAACCTAAAGATTGTATAGAAATAATAAAATTAATTACAAATAAAGAAAGTACAAAAATTAAAGATAAAAAAGATAAACTTGCATTAGAATATGCAATTGAACAAAGATTAGAAATGTCAATTCAAGTAATATTAGAAATTAATGATAGAGCTGATGTTAAAGTATGTTATGATGCAGGACAAATAAATATAGAAAAACCCGAAGGAATAAATAGATTTGGATTCTTTCATTCTGAAGATGAAGAGAAAAGTATTATTTATGATGTTAAGATACAATCAAATCAAAAAATTAAACAAGAAAAAAATAGAAATAAAAAATGGAAGAAAATGTTAGAAATATGGAAAGAAACGGTTCCACATAAATTAAGTGAAAGAGTTATGAAAGGAGTACCAATGAATTATAGAAGAGATTTATGGAAAAAATTACTTGAAATAGATAATATCGATGAAAAAATTCTAAAGGAATATAAAGAATTAAATGAAAAAGATAATAGGTCAGAACATGATAAACAAATTGATTTAGATATTAATCGAACATTTCAGTTACATTATAACTTTAAAATTAGATATTGTGGTGGTCAAAAAGAATTATTTAATGTTCTTCATTCATTATCTGAAACAGAACCAGAATTAGGTTATGTTCAAGGAATGTCTAGTGTTATTAGTGTTTTTACAATGTTTTTAAAAGAAGAAGAAGCTTATGCAGGTGCAAAGAAAATATGTGGAGACAAATATAAATGGAAAGAAATGTTTTTGAATTTTGACTTAATTCAAAAGTTATGGAAAATAACTGGAATTATTATGAAAGAACATTATCCTCAAATGTTTGGTCATTTAAAAAAATTAGAAATTATTGATTGTCCTATGCCTTTTTTCATTTTTGAATGGCACTATTTATGGTATGTTCATGCATTTAACTTTGAAATTTCTTTAAGAGTATTTGACTTTATTTTAATGGATGGATTTTGTGCTTTAATGAGTGTTGCTAGAACAATTATGTTTTATATTCAAGACGAAGTACTTAAAATAAAAACTAATGAAGACCTTCAACAAAAGTTAAAAACTCCTTTGTTATTATTACCTAAAGAAAAAAGACCTACTGCTAATATGTTTATGAGTACAGTAGAAAAGAAAAGATTTACTCAAGACCAAGTTAATGAATTATTAAATCAATGTACTTTATAATAATTACTTTAACTTTATCGTTTGTAATATTTTTTTTTGTTATGTTTTATATACAAAAATAAAGTAATTAAAAAAAAAAGAAAAAAATTATATTATTTATTTAGTTTATTTTATTATAATTATTATTCATTTTGTTTATTTTGTATCTCTTTTTTTAATTTGATTAAATGAAATAGAAAGTTATAAAACATTCATTTTTTTTGTTTTTTTGTTTGGTTGATTATACTTTGATTATCTGGATTTATTGATTGAATTGAATAGAAATTCTTTTTATATTTTAAGATTATTATAAATTTTTTTAAAAATTTAGTTTTAAGAAAATAAACAAGTTACAAAATATTTGTATAAAGTTGTACACCTTTTTGTAGATGATAAGAAACCTTTTATAAAACTTTTATTTTTTACTATTTATGCTACAGAAAAAAATGTCATTACTTCAATAGAGAATAAAATTGATAATTTTATTTTAATAACAAATAAATAGTTTTATTAATTATTTTAAATTTTTATTTATAACTTAATAAAATTTGTTTTATAAATCTCTTTTATAAAAATAAAGAAGTTGTAAAAAGAATTAAGACAATAAAAAAACAAAAGACTTAAGTAAATAATTTATTGCTTTTGTCTTACGCCACTAACAACAATATTAATGGAGTCATAAAAAAGCATTTTTTCTATCTTCGTTTAAATTAAAAACAAATAAGAAAGACATTGTTTTCAGTATCAAAACGAAGAATAAATAAAATAAAAAGTTCTTTCAACCCTAGTTCAATTTTAATGTTATATAAAACAATTAAAAATAAAAAATGAATTATTTTTTCATTTCATGTCATTTAAATTTAAAATTAGAACAATAAAAAAATATATGAAAAATTAAATTCAATTTAGTGAACATACAATAAATTTAATTACATAAGACATTCTGAATATCATAGTCATTTTGTTTTAATATTAAATCAGTTGTTTTAGATAATAATTTTTGAGAAATTAATTCATGAATAATAAGACTTTTTTTAATAATAGTTTCATGATTAAATATAAATACATTTTTGTAATAAATTTGAAGTACTGTTTCTTTTTGTAATGAACCCATTTTTTGATCAGTAAATCTACTTCTAAATGTAAATCCTTTTTCATTAAGAAGATCAATAAGTAAATGAAGTAATTCGACTTTTTTATTGATTTGCATTCTTCTTTTAGAAGTTTTTTCTGTACATCCACATCTCATTTCAAATTGTTTTCTTTCTTGAGTTCTTGTATTTAAAAATCTTTCAACGTTGATTTCATCTTCTATTGAAAATTGAATCAATTTTATACGAAAAAACTGATGTGTAACCTCAGCCTTTTTACATTGTTTTGTAATATGTACAGTACAAAACTTATTTAGTAAAGCCAATAACATTGATTGTTGTTGTGTTTCATATTCTCTTGCACGTCGAGAAGCTTGTAATTTTGGTATTTGTCTTTTTTTATTTCTTTCTCGTTCTTTTTCCTTTTTCTCTTCATGTTCTAGCAATGGTTTTAGAGATATGTATGGTTTCATTCTTTTTTGTATTGAATGTCTTACCTGAGATTCGAGTTTTGTTCAACTTCGTCATACTCTTTCAAATAACTTCCATAATTTTATCATTCTTATACGTTAAAACTATAAAAATAGACATGGGATTTTGATTTGGAATTTTAAGAAAGAAGCAATTGAAAAATACTTTTATTATTATAAAAAGAAAATTTTAATAATTTTATGATTTAAGCTATTTTTAAATATTTATTATATTATGTTATTAATAAATGTATTATTTTGTTTGAGAATTATGAATTATTCTAAATGAAACTAAATTCAACACATCAACAAACTCTACAAAAAGACAAAACAATTTACTCATTATTAGGGTCAATGTTAAATTCATTGATATATATCTTTTAACATTAGATGATAATAATTTGAAGACAATCAATTTGTTGATAGTTAACTTTGGATTTTATAAGTGTTTTACATTTTAAAGTTATATGAATTATTGTTAGATGAAACTAAATTAATTAAAGAATTGATGATATAATTGTCATAGTTTGTTTATTTAGTTAGTTTGTTATTATTTAAATTGTCAATCAAAAAGATTTATTGAAAATAAAAAATGCTGTAATGAATAAAAGAACAACAAATGCTATCTTTTAAAGAAAAATAGGTTTGATAATTATATTCATAACATTGTGTATGTATTAAAATATTGTTAAGAAAAATTGAAAACTATTCTCATTTGTTTTATTCTTTCATTCTAATTATTTATTAAAATAATTTTATTTAAGAAGCAATAGATTTACGTATCATATAATATTTAATTATTTTTCTTTACAGAAAAGATACGAAATAAGGTATTATTTTAGTTTAACTTAATCAAAATAAACAAGATGTTGATAACTTATGTTATTTTAAAAGAAGGTAAAGAATTTTTTTTGAATGGTTGTTATGTGATAACCAGTCATTTTGTTACTGATAGATGTCATGGTCAATAAAATAATAAATCATATAGATTGTATTTGTTGTTTAATTAAATAAAAAACACTAATAAATTAAATAAATATAATACATGTTCTTATACAAGCAGCTCGTCACAAACTTATTATATAATAACCTTCTTGACACTGATTTTAATCTTTCTTAATTCCATTATTTTTACATAAGAATTTATAATGAATGGTTATTCTAGTTAAAAGTTATAAAAAATGTGTCATACAGAAGAGTTGATTTAAAATTGTATTTTTATTCTCAACAAGAAAAAACGATGAAAAAGACTTATAAAAATATATAAAGGATCTATGAATGAAATATAAAAATATAAGAATATCATACTCAAATTAGTAATGATTTGATGGTTCAAAAACTTCTAAAGTCACAATAGACTATTTGCCTTTTGATTTTTAAAATTATTTAATATTCTTTCTTTTCATAACTTTAATAAAGTAATTCTTATTAAAAAAATAAACAAGTTAAAAAGAAAATTGTTCAAATTTATTCACCTAATACTTAATCAGATTTGTATATTTTTAAATTATCACTAAAACAAAGTATCTATATTATTCCATCTTATGAGATATGTATTAACTATAAGATTATATATCCATAGATATTTTTATCAAATTTAATGTAAATTTTAAATATTTTACTCATTGATTTACAATTTCAGTCAAGTAGATTTTAAACTAAAGATTCTTTAATTATTTTTCTAGAAAGAACATGAATTATAAATACATTATTTTAAAATAATCTAGATGTAATTTCAAAAATAAGTATGATAAAAAACTTTTTATCTATTTTTCAATTATTATATATTTTATTATTTAACAATTCAGTTACTTACCTGAAGAATATAAATAAGAAGGGTTATTGACATTATGCCTTTGTTTTATATTATTTACTTGAGTATATCAAAACCTCCAAAAGAATTTCTTCTGGGACATACCTTTTTGTTTAAATATATCCATTCCTTTGAATTCATTTTTGTGTCTTTGAGAATGAGTGATAAAAATGATGAAAGAAACTTGTCAATTTATTATATGAAAAATAACAGTAGAATAACTTAGTTGTGAAGGTATATTCTTTTAGATAAAATTGTTTTATATCACGAAAAATATGTTAAAAAAAATAAAGAATATTATTAAAAAGAAATTAAAAAGAATCATAAAAAAAACTAAAAAAAATAAATGGAAGAAAGGGAAATTGAAGGGAATAACGATTTCTTTGAAGACTTTTCAACAATTTTATGTATCAAATGCGATAACAAACATACAGAACAATGGTTTATCAAATACACTATTGAGACTATTGGAGTTAAACCTATTGGAATATGTTCAGGGTGTAATGGTGAGTATTTTGTTGAGTTTGAAGATTCTAAAAATTGTGAGATTGTAATAAATCTACTAGATAATCAGGAGATTAAAGAGGTTATTTTTCATGTTCAAAAGATTCCAACCCCATGTCCAGAAGAAATAAAAACATTATTAATTCAATTAAAAGATCAATGCACATACAATCAATTTATTTATCTATTAAAAGAAGCTGAACTTGGAATAGGTGTAAGAGATATTGTTGATGAAGCAATTCGATTATATGACAAAAGAGCAATTGAATGGTGTTTTCAAGCTATTGCATTTAAAGAATTACCTAAAGATCATGTTAAGTTTTTAGCTAAAGTATTAATGACAGATGACTTTACTACTATTTCATTAAAACACTTTTCAACATTACAAAACCAATTACTTGAAATTAATTTGACTCAACCTATCCAAAAATCATATAACCTTCATTTATTATGTACTTCTTTGAATCATTTAATACATCAATATTTATCACATTCTTTCCTTCTTTCATCTCCATTATCTTCTATTTACAATCAACTAAGAAGAATGATTGCACTAACTTATATTCCTTCTTTTCTTGCTTCAGTATCAATTCCAGATGAATTAAATTCTTTTTCACTTACTCCTTTAGCTGCTTTCTTAGATGATAAAAATCTAGGAGAATTAAAACAATTTCTTGTCAATGTATTACAATTACCTGATGCAGAAGAAAAGGTTACTGAAATTCCTTTATTTTTTACACAAGAAATTCTTCCTGAATCTACTCAACAACGAATCCTTGCACTTCTTTCAATTAGAAAAATTACTCCTACAACCCATCAATCAGTTAAAGAATTTACTGCTAATACTGTGGTTGAATATGCTATTAGAGCTGACTCTGGACTTGTGCCATTGGCAGAATATTTGTATGATATGGAGTGTTATGTTCAGTCAGCAATTATTGCTATTCATTCATTAAATAAACCAAATGAAGATATTTCTAGATCAACATTAATTGTATCTGAATGTATCAAACGAGTTAAACATATACCTGCATTAACAATGATTATAGTGAAAGAAATTATGTCATGTGGGCCAAATAGAGACCTCATTTTAAAATATATGATTGAAGATAACACTATCGATGTTACACTAGGATTTAGAGGGATTGATTCATTCATTAGTATTTATGCTCCTAAACTTATGTGGAAAGTTAGAATACTACAAGGAAATATTGACGCCTCCGTTAAAGAAATTGTTCATTATTCTTTATCTGAAAATGATGTCTATGAAAGGTTGAATGAAATTAGAAATTGTTTAGGCAGTATTGGAAAAATTTCTGAAACTGAAAGGAGTCAATTAGTTCAAATAAATGATTTATTAAGGTGTCAATGTATTATTCATCAATCATTAGATGAATTAAGAACATCTTTATTACAAAAAAGTAATAGTCAAGAAAATGATACTAGTGTGTCTCAAGCTCTTCAAGATGTTCAAACTCAGTTAGAAAATACTCGAATGAAAGTTATGACTATGACTGATTTATGCATTATTGCATCTCAATTCAAATTATACGATGATGTATTAGTTTTGTATCTACACTCATCCCAAAAACGTCCTGAAATAGTTCAAAAACTATGGGATATAGTTAAATTTTATCTTTTCAGAGAAAATGATACTAATACCCGTTTTGTTTATTTTGACAAACTCAAAGGAAAACTTGGGAGATTCCAATCTGAAGTTCCTCAAGAATTATCATTAAATCTTCAAAATTATTGTGAAACTTTAAATTAACTTTAAATTGATTGATTCTTTTTTAACTTTAGATTATACATCAAATATATCTGTTTGATCTTCAAGTTGAGATATTGATGTAATTTTTAAATCATCTGAATGATCACTTGATAACGAATTAAATTTATTACAATAAAATATTAAGGCAGTAAAAAGTCCTATAATTCCTCCACCAATGATATCTGAGAAGTTGTGATAATAATCTCGAGTTCGTGTTATCATTATGAAAATAGCTACTATTGAAGGAAGAGACACAACCAATACTACAAATATTTTAATAAAAAAATTTATAAAAAATCAAAAAAAAAACAAACATTTCCATGACTCTTGAGCAGAAGCAAATATTTTCATTTGACCTGCAAGAAATAATGTACAAAATGTCATTCCATTTGATATAGAAGATGAATGTCCTGAAGGAAAGCTCTGATACACTGATTTAACTTGTTCTGGATGTTCAGAGAGTCTAGCATAAAAATGTGGACGAGGACGACCAGCAAAGAGTTTTGCACAGTTAGTAATAGCGATATTTGAAGAGATACAAAGGATTAAACAAAACAAAGAATAAAACAAAAACTTTGAAGACTTTTTAAAGAGTGAAAAGAGAAGTATTAAGAGAAGAGGTGGGACATATGAAATTAAAGCACAAAGCCAAAAAGGAATTGTTTCTTTTTCAACATAAGGATAATCTACATTTACATTATTTTTTTCATTTGGAATTACCATTTGATTTGGAGAACAAAACAATGTAATTACAATAGTAAGTAAAGATATTCCAAAAACAATAACATCACTAAATATTTCAGAGATAACTAAAAGACTGAAAGAGTGTTTAATTTTAGTCCAAACAGACATTTTATTCCTTTTTTTATTCCTTAAATTTTTTTTGTTATTTTTTTTAAGATGTTTTTTATTTTTATTTTTTTTTAACAAAAAAAAATTATAGCAATCAACTTTAAATAAAAGCATTATTAAATCTTTGTCTTCTATTTTGTTTTTTTAATCTTTCTTCCTAAAAGAAATAAGTTATCTTAATCATAAAATGAAAGAAGAAACAAAAATAAACAAACATATGACTCAATCGGAATTGACTTTTCTACTCCACCAATTCTAACTATTTTTTTTGATGCAGGTGAAAGTGGTTTTTTTGGGGCAACAACTGATTTTCTTTTTTCAGATTTACGACTTTTTGCTAATTGTTGTTTTTCAATTACCAAACTATCTTCCATCTCTGGAGATAGTTTATTTTGTGCTATTGTATATCCTGAAATATACAGAACATTTTGTGTTTTATTAAGTAATGTGAAAGAGTGTTCTGGTTCGACAATTACTGAAACAGGATAATTAAGATTATTTCCAGTAATACTTGCAATACACACTTCTTCATTATCTATTTTAATGAACGCACGATGCATCTTTTCATCTTTTAATTCTTCTTGAACACAAACATGAGTGATGTGAAGAATATCTTCACACATTGATTCAAATGATCCATTTGGCTCAATAATAACACCCCAAAACATCAAACACTGAGTTAATAAGTTCTATGAAAAAAAATGATTTTAATAATAATAAAAATAATAATAAAAATATAACTATTTAAGGAAAGAAAAAAAGTCTTTTCATTTCATTTGATAAGATATGAAGAGAATAAGAGTTGCTCAAATTAAAACAATGGACGATTATTTTAGTTTAATTGGAAATGTAGGAAAAGTACAAAAAGCTTGTGACGCACTTGAAAATATTCAAACTGACATCGATTATGAAGTTGGTTTACAACAAACTTATGCTTTATGGCAAGAATCATCAAAACTAGTAAAAGAAAGTTGTTTAGGTGAAGTAAGTGTTAACGAATTTTATTACCTTGTTTTTAAGAATTCAGGAATCCTTGATTATTGTTCAAAAAAGTCAATTGATGAAATGATTCTTAAAAAAATGAAAGGAGTCATTATCAATAATTATTCTGTTGGAGTTAAGTCATTAGATATCGGTGATAATGTTGTTGTTAATATTCAAGTTAAATTCACTTTTGCACCAAATTCTATGGTTAATGAATTAATTTATCAATTATCAGCTGAACTAGATTGTACTGGTGAAATAATAGAAAGTAATGTCTCTACTTTTCATCAATGGAAGTGTCAGGTTACAAGTATTTTCTTCAAACAATTAGAAGATGTTGAATGTTTACTGTTATTATTGAATAAAATTATTCCTTATTCATATGACTACTATTCAAATATTATTCCTCCATTGATTTTTGATCAACAATTTGAAGAAGAGGAAGATGATGATGACTATGATGAAAGTAATGATGGTTATGACGAAGAAGGAGATGACTATGACGAAGACAATTATTGATTACATTTTATATTTCTTCATTTTATGAATTTTTTTTTGTTCATCATCTTTTTTAAAATTGTTTGAGCAAAAAGAGAAAGAGTTATTGAAAACTAGAATGATAGTCAAAAAGAAATTATTTCATTTCAATCAACTTAGTAACTCATCTCAATTATTTTGCATCATTTTATTTCAGAAAAGGAGTTGGTTATTTTTAATAAATACTTTGTTAGTTATATCAATATTGAAAATCAATACATTTATATCATTGAAATACCATTTTAATAGAAAAAGTGTTAATGCTTTTGTTTTAGTAACATCTAACAGAATTATAAATTACTTGTAATTTGTGTTTAATAAAAAATACAAAATAAATAAAGAATGAACTGAACAAATGCATTAAAAAGAAGGATAAAAGAGTTGTTATTCTTTTTTACTCACCGAACATCAAACTAAAATAAGCCTTATAGACATACTATGCAATGAGTTTATACTTCAGTGCTTATTGATTTAAAAACAAAAAGTACTAATGTCAATGAAATGTTGTCAGGCATTCACCTAAGTGTTTTTTGTCATTAAAGTCAGTATAATCTAATAATCACCGAAAAGCTTTAACTCAAAAAAATTAAAAAATATATTTTATAATTACTTAATAACAAAAAGCACAAAGCTCAAATTTCTTTTGAGTTATTTTACTTTGTAATTAGACATACGTTTCATTAAACCAACAATTAACCAAAACTCCATTACCCAACTTTTAAACAAAAGAATCAATTAAAAA